ATGTTCATGAATGTTCATGAATATTTCAAGCATTTTCAATTCATGAACTTAAAATGGGACGTTTTCTTCATGAACATTCATGAACATTCATGAATTGTTGCCATTTTTCATGAATGTTCATGAATTCATATATTCATGAATATTCATGATTTTATATTCATGAAAGTTCATGATTTTACATTCATGAATATTCATGAATTTATATTCATGATTTTCACATGCTTTCATGATTCATGAATTTTCATGAATATATTTTGCTCAAGATTATTCATGAAGTTTTAAGTTCATGAATTTCATGAAAATGTTCATGAACAAATCAAGAACATTCATGAATATTATTCATGAATATTTCATGAACTGTTCATGAATTTTCATGAATTATTCATAATCATTTCGCAGGGGGTGTATCATTTCAGCCATCGGTCATTACACAGTTATAACGATGCTCGGTCAGACCTCTACAGTGCATCAATTGTCTGTTGCCAACAGGCTTTGCTGCATTGTATGTTGAAAATTGTTCCAGTTTTGTTTTAAGGGAAAAAAATAAAAATATGTCTGTAGTCCTCGCAGTCTGTGTTTGTTTTCTGACCGGTAGACACAATCAATGTCACTTATGGCGAATATAGATTTTTCCTGTGGAATTGGCAAGAAAGAAAGTATCATATATTAGCATGTGTAATGAACAGAGATGTTTAATGCACACACACATATACAATGAGCTAAGGTATAATCCTGTATGGTTTGAAGGTCCTTTATTAAAATCTAAAAAAAAAATAAAAAAAAAAAAATTAATTCATTACGCATTTACCGGTATGTTAATATTTACTGTGTTACCCTAACTCATTCACCCCTGAAATTTCATAATGAACTATTCCAACATTTGAATTGGAGGAGTGTCTTCAGGAGTGAATGTTTTAAGGATCCCCTTAAGCTTACCATCTCAACACATTCATTACAATACACTGGATACTGTTTTTCAGCATTTTATGAAAAAAATGATAAAGATGAAATTAATAACAAAAATCAACATTCAATGTTCCGAGTGTAAAAACGTAATGGGCCACGGCCAGAAAAGGATTCAAACCCATGACCTCTGTTCATTATACCGCCACTCTAACCAAGAGAGTCTCTTTGTCATTGGTTGTACTCTGACCCAGTCACACTACTGTTGTATAATGTAAAGGAATTTAAGGGGAGGTTACTCTACAAAGAAAAGTTAAAGTGGAATTCTCTAGTGTTTTGCCTACAGTGTGACAGGGATCCTTAATCAAGTAACATACCACACATACACGTGCATTTTTCAGTATATTTCCTTCATTTTCATTTGTTAACTGACCTGAGTATATAGCGGATAGATCCAGACATATACAAAATATAGGTCTACAGGGCGTCGGCTATTGATTGGTGCAAATAACACCGAACATGACCTGCTCCATTCCGAAACACTGATTTTACCAGACAGCTTACACATATATATATAGATTTGGGTTCCCCGGCCATGCTGGTGAATATTTGCCAACAGCGTGCAGAAAGTAATTAATTATGTAAAAATAGGACAAAAGATTGTGTCCACTGAGGGAGAATTAATATAACGTGTATTGATTTTGGATATGTTTATATAAAATATTAATAATATATAATTTCCTTTGTAATTTGAACCATAGTACGGGTTTGTTGTGACTCGCAGAGTTTGACAGTGAATTACAACATCTACTTTCTGAGAGCATTAACTAGCAGGACCTTTCCTACTTATATAAAAAATATCAGGAGTGACGGCCATATTGTTACACTTTTGTTTACAGTTATCTCCCCTTCTTTAAAGAGGTGGCATACTGTTTTTGCTGTTCAAAAGAAGAGATGACCAGGCAACATGAAATAAATTTGCAGAGACTCCCCATTGGTGTTGTCTGGTCATCTTTTCTTTTGAATTGTGATTACTGTTATGGCCGCAGACTAGGGAATTCCATTTAGGAATACATCAACTGGGGTAGGCAGACCTTCACTGAATATCCACGATCAACGTTGGATCTTGTTTTCTCGTGTTTTTGTTGTGTTCACCTATTGACCCTTTCTCAAATGTTGACTTCTTGGACATTATTGCACACAGTTAAGCCTGCATTCAGAGATCATGGTTAAGAAGCCAATACAGTGGTCTCTTATTACAAGTGGTCTCTTAACATAGGTTCAGTTAATATAAATAGTCATCTTTTAATACAGGTGGTCTTTTAATAGAGGTGGTCTCTAATACAGGTTCAATTAACATGAATATACCTGTAATGGGGAGTTTTAAGTGTCATCTTTTAATACAGGTGGTCTTTTGATAGAGGTGGTCTCTAAATACAGGTTCAATTAACATAAATATAACTGAAATAAAAGTCGTCTTTAAATAGAGGTGGTCTCTTAATAAAGGTTCACTTAGCATCAATATACCTGAAATGGGGAGTTTTAAAAGCCATCTTTTAATACAGGTGGTCCTTTAATAGAGGTGGTCTCTTAATATAGTTTCAGTTAACATAAATATATATACCTGATATGGGGAGTTATAAAAGTCATCTTTTAATACAGGTGGTCTTTTGATAGAGGCGGTCTCTAAATACAGGTTCAATTAACATGAATATAACTGAAATAAAAGTCGTCTTTAAATAGAGGTGGTCTCTTAATAAAGTTCACTTAGCATCAATATACCTGAAATGGGGAGATTGAAAAGCCATCTTTTAAAACAGGTGGTCTTTTAATACAGGTTTTATACGTTAACATGAATAAAACTGCAATGGGGAGTTTTTGAAAGTGGGTCTTAACACAGGTGGTCTTTTAAAGAGGTGGTTTCACTAGCAGGTTTGACTGAACATTACATTTGGCATGTTGTACTCCATTTTAAAGGTTCTAGTTAAGTGAATTTCATGGGCTGCCAATCGGAGGTTTAGAGGTCAAGTGAAATTGTCGATTACCAAGATCACTTACAATTTAAATGGTGGTTGATAAGGGTGATTGATGGGATTAAACGTTGTAAGCAATATACATGTAGCTGATATTTATTGCTCGTAAATATTGAAATATGGATTGTAATGAAGTTTTCTCACGCAGTCATATCTAAACTTTATTGACACCATGATGTAACTATAGGTAACAAGTTTGTGGTTTCCTTCATAATAACAATAATTTGAGTTTCTTACATACCTCTTCATCACAACCAAGTGGTTCACAAATTATTATCCACGGTTATAGGGCCTTTGCAAACAGCCAATACCTTTTTCAACTCCCTCAGGGGAGCAGTGCTGCCATTTCGGCGCTCACAGCTAGGATTCTACAATTCTAGCACTGCACAACCACATACTAATTTACAGCTGAGTAGACTGGAACAAGCAGAGTAAAGTATCCTGCTCAAAGATACAACACAGTGCCGTTCCGTTCCGTGAACCCACAACCCTTCGGTCACGAGCCTGTCATCCTACCTCTAGACTACTGTGCCTCCTTTATTTCTGCCAAGAGCAGACAACACTCTCACTTAACTTGCATAAGTCCATTCACCCCTTAAGTCCCATTGAAACCTTACCAAATCAAAGACTGGGCAAGTCCACTTTGAAAATGTAGGGGTGAAAGAGTTAAACAATTTTCTGTAGTTTTCTTTGTGAATTTTGTAGACTCCACGAGACGGAGCTGGGGTTTGTGATCGTGTTGGACAGACGACAGGCTGGATGGAGTTCTGTCAAATCTCTTCTACTCAAGATGTCTGTGAGTAACTATTGTATACTGGGAAATGTTCACTGCAGTTAAATTTTCGACTTTTTCGCCCTCCGTAATGATGGCGAATTTATCATTACAACGAATAAAAATAAACAACAAAACGTGCATCGTGATTGAATGTGAAAGGCGAAATTTCTTGGTATGCAATAAAAGCACAATGAATCGGCACTGCAAAAATTCAAACTGTTGAATATTTCAATTTCTAATAAAACAATAATTTCTTATTTGCAATCTTAGAAACTCCTATAAGATATTGTTATAGACATCACCTAATGGTAAGTCTTTAAACGTTTTTCCATCTTATTGACTGCAGAATTTTGTACCAGATTTTATGACTTTTAAAAACAGAATCTAATTTGCTATAATGCTATATTATTTGTATGTTTCAGGACTTTTTTCCCAAGCACCTGCAGGTCGTCTTCTTGCTTCAACCGCACGGCTTCTTCCAGAGGGCGTTTGCTGACATGAGGTCAAAATTTGTCAAGGAAGAACTGGAGTTCAAGGTCAGTGAGTTGTTGCATTGGTAGTCCTAACCAGCTAATTGTGAGATTTCTGAGTGACTTTCCAAGCAATGAGTGAACAGTTTTCAACTGTATGAAATATTTTGTTGGAAATTGAATCATTTTGAAATCTGGCTTTGAAGATTGGCTCTCATAAAAAAAAAACCATTATCAGTAACAATAGCATCCTCGATATGTCATAGCAAAATTGAAGGCATGCGACTAGCTATTTCATTGGTCTTGGGTAAAAAAAACTGACCAATTGCTAAGCCACATGATACATGTCCTTTGAAGATGACATAAGAACGACACTGGACTTCAAAGCCAGTCAATTTTACTGTTACTCGACTGACAGATTCTTTTGATGTACATCGGAGAATCAAACTAGTGCATGCATGTTCTCATCTCATTCACAAGGTGGTGCACACCAAGCCTTCAATTTTGCTATGACATATTCCAGGGGTGTAGAGAGCGAAAGTGAGCGTAATCCCTGGAGTATGGAGGATGTTTAATATGGTTTCTTCATTCATAATTAATTTCTTTCAAATATTATATGTAAACTCTTTACTGCAGGTCTCAATAACAGCTAGATTACATTCATATTGAATTATAGAAATTTGTTTTGTGGTACAGGCTGAAATGTATAGCTGGTAATAATTTCTCGAAGGATTTTACCCTTTCACCCCTATGTAACTTGAGTAGACTTTACCTTGCATTGATCTGGATGAATCCATTATGGATTACAGTTGTAAAAGGGTTAATTTCGCTTTATCCGCAGTCACCAAAGATGGCATCAAATTAAATAACGAGAATATTGATACCATAAATTACAGATTAATTAGGACTTCAAATAGTTTAATATTGGAGTGGAATTTGATTTAATTAAAAAAAACAAAAAAAACAACCTGATAACTTAGATAAATGAAAACATAATATCTGAGCAAAATATATAAAACAGGCCCTTACAATATTAAGGAATATAACAGCTGCAAAATATTGGACAGAGGACCCTTAAAAGATAATAAATCATAACTTTGTACGCCCTGCTGTTTACACATTGTAGATATTACAACAGCTTAATCCTGTTACTTCAGTTTGCTCCCATCCATATTCAAAGAGTTTTCCAATTTTCTGCTGAATTATAGGAAACGGTTGAGAACGAATCAAATGCAGTCAAAACCCTCAGACAGTTAGTGCGCTGTAACCATGACAACGAAAATCAATATGGAAGGAGACATTCAATGATTTAGTTAAAGCTCCCCACAATTTGGAAAGCATACATCATTTCGCTATCCCATAATGTGACATTTATTGTGCTGATCCATGTTAACTATGCTGAGTCATGCAATCTGAAAAACTATAAAACGAAAAAGAAAAAAAAAGTGGAAGAAAAATATTGTGAAAAATTGTTAAGATAAATACAGAAATTTAAAGTTGCTTTCCCGTCCTTTTTGATTTCAAGGATCACTAAAAAGTAATTACATTCGTTCTGTAAGGCTCAGCTCTAGGACTCAATGTCAATCTTTTCCCATCTCAAGTTGTGAAATAAAAACATTTCGTTGCCATTTTAATGGGGTTGTTCTAGAGTTGTCGTCTCCCTTGGTAATAACACCAGCGGTACCAATCCTAACTTCTCCACTGTATCCCGTGGTTATACCACACATAAATAACGAACTGTAGGTGGAGAATATTATGTAATTGTATCCATTCCCCTAGGTAAGCATCATTTCTTGAAGACATTTTATTTTCATATTCAAAATCTTGTTTATTGTGTTTGAAATAAAAAAAAACTCAACAGATATTTAAATAAACCATTTCCAAGTTTCTTTCCAAAACAAAATCGGGCCCATTTAATTTCATGACACTTTTTTGCTCTGCTGCCAATTTGCAGCATTTTGGACAGATTCCGTGTTAGTCAAGTTGAAGATTTATCATCACAATTCCAATATATTTCTAATGATTCATAAATAAAACACAGCTTAGACATATAACTTGAACAATTTTATGAAATTTACAACTAATCTTCTAATGATGCTGATTTTATTCTGTTGCTAAAACAGGTAAATCAACACATATAAATGCCATTTATTGCCATTTTGGAAGACATTCGAGAATTTGAAATTTGAAATTGTCAATTCAAAATTGAATATCCTCATAAAAATATATTATTGATGTGGTATGTAAATTGTATATAGTTGAATTTTTTAATTGTAATTCAAAAATTTCAAATAGGGTTTGATAAGTTTTTGTTGTTGTTGATGTGTATGATTGGTTGATTTAACCAGGTTGTGATGTGTAACGACCCAAACCAGATGTTTGAATACATTGACCCCAGTCAGCTGACCAAAGAGGTCGGAGGTCAGTTGGAATACGACGCCAATGAATGGACTCAACATCGAGCTGTAAGTTACAGGACATTGTGTTTATATAACGGGATGTGTACATTTAATTTGATTAACTCACTCACCCCTGAAGTTTCATAATGAACTATTCCAACCTTTGATTTGGAAGAGTTCAAGTCACTTTTTGAGGGCGTAATTCATATACTCATGACTTTCACCTTCAATTGCCAAATTTTCTATGAGAGTACCTCTTAGAATGGCAGAGAATCTTGTACTGAAGTCCAGATTTACAGAGTGATGGCCCCTTGTTCTCCTTGCATTGTGTTTTCAGGTCATTTTTCATATACTCTGTTACATGTACCTATGAATGCTAAATTTTGTGTGTGAATACATTTATGTATATCTTTGGATTGCAAAGCACTATGTAGGGAATTTGGTTTCGTGTCCAACTATTTACAGAGTGATAGGCCGTTCTTTGTCACGCATAATTGTTTTAATATATTTTTTTTATATTTTTCTCTCACCTACAATTGCCAAATTCTTTATTGATATTGGGATGGCAAATGGTCCTGTACTAAAATCTCCTGCTCCCCTGTTTATAGAGTTATGGTCCTTGTTTAGCTTGCATCATACTTCAGGGCATATATCATATACTTTGTCACCCACAATCGCCAACATTTTGTAATCAAGAACCTGACTTGAGATAGCAGAGTGATGTTTACCGAAATAGTCTTTAACTCATTCACCCCTGAAGTCACATTTGAACTCTTCCAATTCAAATTCAAAGGTTGGAATAGTTCATTATGAAATTTCAGGAGTGAAGGAGTTAAAAAGTACTAGTGGTCATGTACATTGTATGTACATCACTACACGTACGTGTGAAGTCTAACATCGCTCACTGTGACTGTTACACTGTTTTTGAGGCACCGGTCTTGGGTTTCCTGAGTGCATATGTCTGTCACGGGAAGAAATCAATACAGGCAGCTTGGAGATTTTCCATTGAGAACAAACACAAAACCTCTCCAAGTTTATATTATGTGATAAAATACCAGTTTAGTTCATCAGAACATAAATCTATGGGAAAGTAAAATAAAGGTCATAATTCATGTTTTAAATTATAAATTTTCTATATTTTATCGAGAAAATGGATATAGCAGTTTATCAGGTAAAAATTATTAAGATCTGTCGATAACGTTTGTGTAAAGTTGATTGATGCGAATAAAAATGCTGATACAGTGACATAACTTTAATTAAAATTACCGAAAGAAACGCTATAAGAGACTATAGGTATCTAGAGCCGAAATGTGGCGGTATTACAGCGACAGTCATTAAACTGCTTCCCATGCAGCACCCCCGCCGTGAGAGACACAATCAATACATTGTTAATTGTGTTGGATCTTAAATAACGCTATAAGAAAATAATGATGCTTTACTTGTGTCTGACATCGTTGTAAAATGTCAATTACTTCCACGACAGCTAATTTTATTGTTGATTCTTTCTAATTCGTCTTAAGCTGCGTAATATTAAAATGCTGGGGTCTATAATTACATGTTTTGATCACCTTAGTAATAATTTCATTTCAACAAATTTTATTGAAAGACTATAATTAAGCTGTACATGGAAGGGATCAACAGGCAGATGTCAAAGAAACTAAATTGTTCATGTTTGATATTAACAGCTTTGACATGAATTATACTAGCCCCAGTCAAATGATTAGTAAAATTGTAGACCCCTGTCTAATGTCAGTAGTTCCAATGGCAAACGTAGTGAGTGGGTAAGGGGCATAACTCTGCCGTTCCTATCCCATAAAATTTACTTGGCTATATTTAAGAATGAGGGTATCACCGTGACACAATGTCTCTCAAAACAATTGATATTTTCATATGACACGGTAGATAAAATAGACCTAGCACAGCACAATGAATCAGTAAAATATATACATATTAGAAATTGGGGAAAAAAACGGTAACATTGTTCAAAAGTAATGAATTGCATACTGAGCTTTTTTTTAATCACTTTAAGACAATTAACTCAACACAGGTAACAAGAATATCAATACACAACTGTACATTAAATTAAAGAGATTAAACAAAAATTATATATCAATTTGTTTTAAATTTGATTAATAGTCAAAATATGTAATGATCGATATATCAATATTTTAATCACATGTATTACAAATATATTTATGTTGCAATATTTCCAATCAAATTCAATATTTCTAAGATGAAAAAAAATATTTGTATTTTGGTGCATAGAATCAGTTTCAAGATTTTTAAGTACATAATTATCCTTGATAATCCAGGGGAAATGCTCACATTCGCTTTCTGCACCCCTGGAATATATGTCTTAGCGAAATTGAAGGCACACAACTATCTATTTGACTGGTGTCAGGTAAAAATACCTGACCAATAGTTAGGCTGATGTCCTTTGAAGATTACAGAAGAGAGACACTCGACTTCAAAGGTAGTAAATTTTACTTTTATGTGACCGTTTTTTACGTACATCAAAGGATCAAACTAGTCTTCTCCTCTCATCCCCTAGGTGTTGCACACTTAGCCTTCAATTTTGCTATGACATATTCCAGGGGTGTAGAGACAGAAAGTGGGTGTAACCCCTGGACTATCGAAGATGGTACATAAGTAATCAGATATAAACATAAAGAATTAGCCTTATGATAATTCTATTACTTTTCATCAAGTATGAAAGTAGATGCAACCTTTAAGTATAATTATATTTTTAGGCTGTTGAAAAGTTCTCCACGAATACCGAGAAAATCGCGACTGCCATTGCTGTTCTTGTGAAGAAATTCCAGGAGATGGAGGTTCCAAACGACGTGAAAGGAACGGAAGCACTCATCCACGACCACATAATGGGTCGGAAAGAAATCATCAATGACCTCATGTCCTCTGATGATCATGGCAAGACCATACTGAGTTGTATAAAGGGAGACAACCCACGCACGCCGATGATACATCAAACTCACGTTCTCAATCTAGAGAGGTAAGTTAACTGTTTTCTATTCCACTTTTTTTACAATGTTTTTGTGAATGTTTAACGGGATTTTACAAATCGTACCTCTTCTATTAAGTTATCCAAGTAAAACACAAACAAATTATTAATAACTGTATCAGCTTAAATTTATCACTGTCAAACTTGCCAACTCTTCCTATTTAGGAGGGAGAGTCCCAATTTTGAACCCTTATATTCAGTATTTTAACCAGTGAATTTGCTAAACTGTTTCTATATTCTGAGATCTAATGATCTCATTTGAAAGAACAACTCAAATTATGTAATTTTAAAGGGTTATTTTGTCTCTAGGGGGTATATACACACACTTTATATAGGTTTCAATTTTGAGAATGCAGAATATCTCCCCCATGGAAATTTCGAAAAGTAGGCAAGCATGCACTTTGTCAGCCCAGATGGAGGCTATTATTTCCTGAAATATGACATGGTGATACACTGTGAAATGTGAAATGTAGATGTGCTAAAGGGATTTAAAAAAATAATCTTAGTCAAGGTCATGGTCACTGTTACTAAAAATAGATAAGTGGTGGGGGCATTCCAAAAGACTAATTTTTTTTAGTTGACATCACAATTAAGACCAGATTAGACAGTAGACATGATATTAAATACGTTCTGAAAATCTTCTGGTCCATAAATACAAGATCATGTACCTTTTCTCAAGAGAAAGACAACAGTATAATAACTGCAGGAACAGTCCATAGTGAGTAGCATTGTTAACTCATTCACCCCTGAAAACACATTTGAACGCTTCCAGTTCAAAGGTTGAAATAGTTCATTATGAAATTTCAGGGGTTAATGAGTTATTAATCTATACTCATCAGTAATTGTCCCGTCATCCAGCAAGTGTTCGGCGCACAGGTTGCCACTTGTTTGCACAAAATTGGTCCCAGTCATTAATCCAGCAGCTGTATCACAATCAATGTAATTATGTGTGGCACAAATGGGGTAAGATTATCAGTTATCAATATCAGTTTGTTGACAATAATTACGATATTTCGTTTATTTTCAGACTACTGATGCAGCTAGAAGAGACAAAATCAAACTTTGAGAGATTCTGGGAGGTTCACGAAAAACGTTTAAAACAGTCGCTACAGCTGCGACAGTTTGAAGAAGAATTCAAACTGGTACGAATATTTTATCTTTTTATTTTTTTCAAATCGCAAGCATTGTACAAATAAGTTGATTGGAGTACAATTTTGACAAGATCAATGGGAAAGTTTTATTGTTGGTGGTAATAAATATGAAATAAGTTGTGTATGTGTTGAATATAAGTATTATAACTACATCCTTAATTGCCCATCAACACAAAAGGTTGATATAGTCAATATATGTGGTCTTTAAAACTTAAATTGAGAAACACCGATCGTGAATGAGCAAAAAGATAGTTATGCGTCAGTATATACAGTAAAACCTTGTTATACTGCCACCAATTGTCCAGAGAAATGTTGGCATTGTAAAGAGGGTTGAAGATAAAATGAAGGTTATAGTGTATAAATGAACTCTTAATTAAGAAAACAAGAAAGAGGGACATTGAAATACTTTGGCAGTAAACAAGGTGCCAAATGAAACAAGGGGCATTATATCAAGGTTTTACTGAATATATTACTAGTCATTAGTATATTTTTGCTAATTCTGGATAAAGGTGTCTTTTATCATCAAACCAGCTTTCTTGTCCTTTCAGATTGCTACTTTCACTCTACATATTGGTTTACCTCTTAAATATTCCAAAATTTTATAAGATCTTCTTGATAATAATACTGTGATTTACCAGGGTAGTTGTGTTTTATTCTTTCGATGAAATATCTGCTTTCCACATCTCGCAACTTAATATAGGCTATAACACTGGAGAGAGTGTGCTGGACTTTCTAGTGTTTAATTGCGTTGTTTTCTTGATTCACAGTTCCAGTACAGCTACGATCATCGGATGGAGGAGCTAGAAAAGGCAATGTCAGATATAGGGGCGACAGTACAACACGTGGAGACCCTCATCCAGAACTTCCATACCTTTGAAGAGCAGGCCAAGGTAGGGTACTCTCATCTTTTGGATCAAACCTCTTTATTTCAGTTACTCATGATTTCACTGTGTTTATTCATGTCACAGTGGTGAACCATCTAGTGGTTTGTTTCTTGGACGCAGCTGGGGGGATTTTCTTTTCAACTCAATCCGTGGAGCACTACCCATAGTAGTCCTGGGTTGTGATGCCTCACTCAGGCAGAGTTTTTGGGGAAATGTGATCACAGTTGTATCGAAGATGTTCCATCATCGAGTATAATGATACATTTGTTACACAGGGAAAAACTCAACCTGCTTCATTCCAATGCATGATTGTAGATGGGTGACTAATGCAGGTGTTTTTTTTCGCAGAAACTCCTAGAAGTGTGCTTCCAGCGTCTGTTTCGATTCAGAACAATGAAGAAACGTGAATTGTTATACTTCACTCACTGCTCCTCTTGAAATCTCTGGGGGTTTTCTTTTGGCGTTGTTTCTGTTTCATAATTAACTCTTCGATCTGTTGTCAGAATGAAATGACTAAGTCAAGGGTGAGAAATTACTATTTTCACGTTTTCATATGACATTTCCATGTGGTGGTCATTTTAATGGTCCCGTCATTAGTGGTGTGACACCATGATTTTCTGACCCATCATTTGTGAGGGACACAATGGAAACTCAAACAAACAAACAAAACAAAATAGAAAGTCTAAAGTGTTGACCCTTCTGACAGAAATTTAGACTAAATAGACTGATTGAAGAGAGGTAAATTATAGAAAATCTCTTTATCCTTTCTGTTAAGGGAAATAGTACTTGAGATTCTCAAATACTATTTCCCTTTGCAGAAAGGATAAAATTCCCACCGACTCCCCACCTGTAACCCCATTATGAAGTTTGATTCATTATCAACTTTTTGAAATTTCCATTGGGGAGATTACGCATGCTAGGAATTAGAAGTGTAAATAAAATGTGTGTTATAAATTACACCCTAGGGAAAAAACAACACTTAAAAAGGGCATCTTTGAGTTGTTCTTCCAGATGAAATCATCAGATCATCAGAAAATAGGAACAGTTTAGCAAATTCTCTGGGTATGAAAATGCTCAATTTTAGGGTCCAAAATCGGGAGTCTCCCTCAAATATAGGATCATATATACTATAGACAAAAAAATTGAAATAATGCATGAAATTCAAGCAACTCTTCTTTATGTTGGTATCAACACATGCATCTTTGTATTAAAATAAATTTTGTAGACAAAACATTCAAGTTTTGGTACTGGCTAACAGTTAGTTAGTAAAACTGCCACAAGCATCCCCTGCTCCAATTTCGTAAATGTTGTCGGATTCTTATACAATGTACATTGTTACCAGTTAATTCTGACCCAACAAAACTAAGTTAATCTACATAATGGGCGCAGTATTGATTAATTTACTTGGTAACATGACTATACAAGATTAATACGTTATTTGTGGTTGCCGTAATGCCTTGGGTAATTGGCTGTGTTCCGATAAAAAAAATATTGCGGAAACCACAGATAGTTGACGGCCCTGTTGGATAAGGTAATGATGATGGCTGTGTAAATGGTTCGTACACTTGTCAATAATTGTGACATTTGATATAATTTGTAGAAATTGTTTTCCAATAGATACTAGGGATGAGTTGGTACAAATATTTGTTCTTAGAAAGAGAGAAAAGTTGAAAATATCTTTTGTAACACAGAAATGAAAAAGTGTTTTTTGACTTAAGAAATAGCTTTTCTCATACATTTTCACAATTTGCACTATTGTGTCTCCATTGCTTTCAGTTTTGTCAGTTTGGTTTAGTTTAGTTTGTTTGTGTTTAAGTATGTCCTATTAACAGCTATGGTCGTTTAAGGACGTGCTAGGTTTTGGTGGTGGAGGAAAATCGGAGTTCCCGGAGATAAACCACCGATCGACAGCCAGTACCTGGTGACTTTCCCACGTGGGTCTCGAACCCGTGACCCAGCGGTAGAGGGCTAGTGGTAGCAGAATGTCAGAAGCCTTAATCACCACTTTGCCAATGCAGCCCCTTTGTCACCTGAAACCCTAGCTTTATGGAAGTTATTCTTTCCATTGGTTCAAAACATTTATGTCCAGATCATTAGATAACTTCAGAACTGCTGAAGCCTACTTCAGAAGTTTAGCAGGATATGTCTCATTCTTCATCTTTCAGTGATTTAAGGGTGTATGTTATCTTACTGTAGCCATCTGTTTCTCCATTAAAGAAGGGCTTTACCTTTAAAGAAAGAAGAAAATAATTCTGAATAGTTATTTGGACTGGATTATAGTTGACATTTTTGAAAGGAAGACAATAATAAATACATCTAATTCGCTCTCAGATAATTTTAAAGACTAATCTGTGAATAAAGGGGAGATAAATCTTAACGCAGATGGTACAAGTGTAAGGTGTAACATATACCCTTAACTCAAATAAAATACAAGCTCTAATGTACCTCAATTTAATGTAATGTACATGTACCATGAAAAGATGTTTTTTCTTCTGATAGAAAAATAAGGGTCATGAAATGATCTGATAAAATTGATAAAAAACGTTTTTATGGTCTGATTAGAATCAGCTTCTACCTTTTACAGTAAAAATAACTATGACGAAATCATTTGTCAAAAATAACTGAATGTATGCGTCATACCTCAAACATAGCTGAAGTAATTTTGATACAATTGAACAGTCAGCACTGATCCAGAATTCTAAACAATTTGCTAGAAACTTAACACTCACGTTTAAAAAGTTAAAATGTTTCGAAACCTAAATGAGCTCTTCAAAATATAGGAAAACCATTGTTTTGCTTTTCATATCAACACAAGCTGCATGACTGAAGAAAAAAAATCAATTGTACTCAAGTTTATCCAACCGGTATAAGCGTAACTTCAAAATCAACCAATTATATATTTTCTTTCTTCCTTAAACGAAAATCAATTACTCGTTCGAAAGGTGATTACGGTAAATGTCCTGGACAAAAAAGGTAAAAAAAATATCTAATTAAAATACATGATGAATTACTGTGTTTTTACAAACAGTAAGTAAAGACGAAGTAGGTGTTTATTGTTATATAGGGGTTTTGTTATCATGTTAAGATATTTATGTAGCATATATAAGGTACTTCCTACCTCCCAAGATGATGATGAATAATTAAAAACCATCAATATTTGAGCATGTTTACCGTTTAATGACACTTGTGGCTATAGCCTATACCGGGTTTGCTTTGTGAAATATCACAGTGGAGAAATGATAGGTACGAAGATGTTGTTTTGGCCTCTTATTGATAGTGTAGGGTGTTCGACTAAGATAAGTGTAGTTGTACCAGCTTCGTTCTTTGTCTACGGCGTGGCTCACATCGTCGATCTTCGATTATTTCTCAGGTAATGACTTTGACGATATTTAATATATATATACAGTCACGGATGTTCCTGGTCGACCGCCATTGGTTATTGAGAAAAGGATTTTGTTTAAGACAGTTTTTAACTCCATGTGGGATTAAGCAGGAACGGGAAACTTGAAATCCTTTGTGTACATGCAGTTATCTCAAGAGGTGTCTTCATTTGGCAGGACAGTGTTATTTACAAATTTGGATACTAAAGTTGGTTTTGCAGTAATATTGCACGTGTGACTCAGTGAACTAAAAGTGTCTGACCAACCATCATAAGTCAGAAAAAATGACAAGTTAAATTTGATTTCCTAAATGGGTATCGGTGTTTAAAATTTTACAATAGATTCCTTTTTTTTTTCATAGGATTTTTTTTCTATATTACTTTTACCAACACAGCAAAAAAATCTTACGGGGGGGAAAAAGAGGAAAATTTTGCTTTTAGATTCATAGTTCTGTTAAATTTGTCCAAACTTTTTTATTTTGAAGACAGTGTAGATTTACTGTAATAGTCACGCAAATACAGAAAAATGTTGGACTAAATGCAGTGTTTAAGTGGATTTTAAAGTTAATGGCTCATATTGAAGTTGGAAGTTAATAGCTGCATAATGTGAAATCAACAAATTGAAATGAAATTGATTTGACATACGTGTATAGTGGATATTTCGAAATGCACAGAACACTAATTGAATTCAGATATAAGTGAAATGCAGTGACTTTATTAGCAGCACTCCATTCAAACATGACATCAATTACCGAAATGTATTGGCTATAATACCTAGTCTGTCGTGTATAGTCCGTTTGACCTGGTCGTTTAAGCTGGAGGCTTGTCACAGCTTTCCACATGTATATAACACATACCTACCAAAAGTGCTTTATGACAGAAAAATGTCACCCCAGGCCATAGGACTTTATAACTGAAAGACTCGGCTGTTTTATGATTTCTTGACATGTGAACGGTTTTCGTGAAATTCCAACGGGAGAATAACCCATAATATACTCTATCCATGAGAGGTCAGTCCGCTGTCCAAAGTGGAAGGCGGTCAAGGCACCTGGGACTATTTCAAAATTACATCAGTGATTGGACATAATAGAGATTTAAATTGGATTTTTGTAATACTGGACTTTGATATTTACGGGACACCGATGGGTTAAATTGTTTACACATTTAAACAGGTGTCGGAAGATGAAATCAAACATTTCAAAGGGTGTCAATAACAAAATTAATGGACCTTTAATGGAAATTAGTAATCAATCATCTGAACAGATACTAATGGATGAAGCATTTTTCAATTTGTAGTTTTTCCTATTTAGCTGGAGATATTGCAGATGTTTAAGGAATTTGAAGATGTTTAAGTGATATGAAAATCAGTTGAAGGATTATGCTAATTCAGATCTTCGAGAAGACATTTCAAGGAATACAAGATCAAGAACATAGGAGGATTAAAGAAATAAGAACTTCAAGGAACAAAAGATCTTCAAGGAATAAATAAGGATTAAACAAATAAGATCTTTAAGGAACAAAAGATCTTCAAGGAATAAAGAAGGATTGATTATTCCTTCAAGGCACAGAAGATCTTGAAGGAATATAGAAGGATTAAACAAATCAGATCTTCAAGGAACATAAAAAT